TTTAATTTGGTTATAAATATACTTTTTAAGTCCAAAGAGATTTTTGTGTTCTGTTTGGATTTTGTGATTTTTCTTTTCTGTTGGCACAAGGTTTATAATACTCATGAGTAGATAACTATGCATCATTATTTCATGTGGTATCTAAAATAGGTTCATTAATGCAATTATGGACTTATTGGTAATTTAACATTCCTCTTTTTCTCATTTTAAATTGTTTTAAATTTTTCCCTTTGCCTTTTAATTAACAGTGTTTCTTCTTAACACCTTTCAGTTCTTTTTTGAAAACTGTTTGAAAACTGACCTCAGGTGACAGTGTAGAATGAAGTTAGGCTTAATTAATTTTTCCTTCATGTTAAAAAGACTGAAGGCCATGTGTTGTCATTCTTGGTATTTACTAACCTGACTAAGTCCCTTGAAGAATGCATGATGTTGGATGTTTTTGATAGAGTTTGCAATTTAGTACTAGTGTCTAAATATATTTGCTACAGTGTTTTTTGTTCAGCATAATAACAAATGGACAAGTAATAGGTTTATTCCATGCTGAAAAAAAGGAAGAAAGAAAACACAACTTTTCGGCCGTGGAGCCTTCTTCAGGTGTGAGAGAGACAAGGCAGTAGGCAAAGGTAATGTAGCGGGAGAACAAAGGTTGGGAGGGAGGAGGAGTGAGAGGTGGGAGCAGGGGACAGAAAGAGAGGCCAATCAAGACGTGTGAAGTCAGAATAGGTGTAGAGAGGTGTGAAATGAAACTACCAATGAATGGAGGAAATTAAAATTTCTAAAACATTTCTAATTTGACAAATGTCTTAGCCATAGCTAAGAGGTGCACAATGAAAAGCCAAACTCATCCAACATGATAAGAAGTGTACTAAAGCATAAGGCATATGTTTGCATACAAGTGCCTTAAAAAGGCTTATTAGCATATTTTGCATATGCAAAATACAAATTTATTCAAATGGTGAGATTACGAGTTCTAAAGAGGGTAATGATATGCAATGACATTCATTAAACCTTCTTAACCATAAGTCCCACTTTAAATTGCATTTCTCATCATGGACACACTCCTCACAACAGAGAGAGTTGTTATCAGTAGTGTTATTGAAGGAAAGAGGAAGAATAAAGGGTCAGAACATAAAGGACAGTTATGCCCGTAAAATGTAAGAAAAGAAAGTTCATCAGAAGAAGCAATCCTTACTAAATACAAACTGAACACAAATATAGTGCCTGCTCAGCCTTCTGAATCTTTCATTGTCAGGCTTCGCTGCTTATAGCCTGAGAAGTCTCACCGAATTCTGCACTTTAAATAATCCTATAAAGCAAGTCTTTATTTTGTTATTCTCTTCACAAGTAGAGCATGTAAGTAGGAGTACTTCCTGGAAGTATGTAAGTTTGTAGGAATACTTCCTGGAACATCCATTTTGCAGACTTTTTAAAATAGTTTTAATATTAGCAACAATATATTGCTCATAACGTAGAAAGTTTCGTCTTTTAATGTATTTCTTATACTAAAAAAACAATTACTTCCAGTCGGTGTCTGCTACACTTCCCGAATCTCTGCCACATCTTTGAGTCACTGGTCCTATGGTGTACAATATCATTTTCTCATAATGTACTTTATCAAGGAGCACCTTGTGTTCAGGAACTCATCATCGTAAGATTTAAAGCACAACCTTCAAATAAAGCATGTTCCTGTATGCTTGAATATGCTGATGATTTGCCTACCTTGCATCTTAACGAGTGGCATTCCCCTGCTGTGAATACCAGCTTCCTTACCATATGGTTGTATGATGCATCTTAAGTTGACTTTTAAGAACACCTAAATTATTGTCTTGTGGAAGACTGAGTGAAAAAGGAAAGTGACTATGCACGGGAAAGGTTTTCTGTTTGCCTGTGATTCTTCACACCCATTCAACCAGAGAGAAATGAGACAGATTGCAGGATGCCAAATGGCATCTTCCTGTCCTGTTTGTTTGACTTCTGACGCTGTCCCTTTCCCTGTATGTTCCTTTGATATGTTTACTTCTGAGAACTGCTTTTTTTTAGTTCAGACTACAAATATTCAATTGGATTGAGGTCTGGAGATTGAGGTGGCCAGTCAAGAACATTCATTTTGTGTGCAGATAACTACGTCTGTGTCATCCATTTAGACTTTGGTCTGTCATGCTAGAATGTCCAAGCTCAATTGAATATTGTTTATTTATTCGTTTTTGGAATAAAGTTGAATATGAAAGTAGCCAAAAGCTTTCATGGCTCTCTCATTGGCCTTATTAAATGACTAACCTCCTGGACTGGCAATCAGCTTGAAATTACTGTACCAATAACCTTTTCATAATTTACCTATCTATAATTTACCTTTGACCAGTCATGGCCTCCTAATAATCCCCATCTCTGAACTGACTTCATCACTCTGCTCTCCTCCCCACTGAGAGCTGGTGTGTGGGGAGTGTACTGGCGATTATAGCTGATGTCACATCATCCAGGGGGGCTGCACACTGGTGGAGATGGAGGGGAGTCCCCATTACCTGTAAGGTGCTTTGAGTGGAGTGTCCAGAAAAGTGCTGTATTATTTTACATTATTTTTATACTGTAATTTAGAGTTTCAGTTATTTCAAAAGTCAACATTTGGTTCATAGCTGACGACATTTCATGATACTAATTCTTCAGTTGGTTCATAATAATAGACATTCTCTTCTTAGTGTTTGTTTTTCTTTCCAACTCACCAACTTTTAGCAGATTTTAAAGTAATAAATATTGTACCTAAGGGAAATCATTTATCTTCCTTTTGGATCTTTTGATCATTAGACAGCAGTGCACTGATGAGCTGGGCAGAAATTAAGCATTGTTGTGCTTCCTTTTATTTCTGTGAACACTGAGTAATGTTAGACTGACCTGGAACTGCAGATTCCACTAGAGCTTACAGATCCTTCAGATGTGCTGTGTCTAGGAGAGATGTTGGCTGCGAAGTAGGAGGTAGCGTTGATTTTCATTGTATCAGCACCTGTGAAGCTGACTTGGAGAGTTACGAAGATTTGGGATGATTACAACATACTTTAACATGCTGTGTGTGTGGATATCTTAGCAGAAGGACCTAACATTTCTGCAGAGGTCATCAGTCTTGTTAGTGTTGTTTCCTACTACTTAAAAACAGTTGAGATCAAGGCCCTGTAAATGCACAGTATGACTCTGGGTCTGAGTCTTTGTTAAGAGCTTAGTTTAATATATGAGTTTGACAAGTACTGTGCCACATAATAAAAATAATGGCATTGTCTAGAGTTATTGGAATGTAGTAGTAACCTATTACAATTGAAGCTAAAACAGTGCTAGATCTGTAAAATTATTTAGAAGCACTTGAAATCGGTATCTGCTTTTGTGAAATTAAAGAATTTAATATGTGTTGGTTTTTATTGTAAAATTGTTTGTTTTACCATGATGAATAAAATTTGTTTTGTGAATGTCGACTTTTCCACAGAGATTACTGCATGAAGCAGCACTCTTTGTTCTGAAATCAGAAATTAAAACCAACTGCGTAAACACGCTTCTGGAGACGTGCTGACAGGATTGTTTTGATAGCGAAAGATGGCAGGCTTACATTGTGTTTCTAAAAACTGATCTTTGAATATAAGGAATACTTTAGCACAAAAGCAAAGTGAGCGCTCCCTAGTGGTCCCATTAACACCTTTTCCAGCAGGAACCTTAGCTTTCCCATGAGGTCTCCCATCCAAGTACAGGCCAAGCTCACACAAGCTTAGCTTCCATGGCTTACCATACAGTATGAGCTGCAGGCTAATATAGCTGGTGGCAAGTGTAGAAGCCAGCAGCTATATACAGCTATATAGGGACGGTGCGGTGGCTCTGTGGCTAAGGATCTGCGCCTGTGGCTGGAAGGTTGCCGGTTCGTATCCTGCGGTTGTCAGGGGAATCCTACTCTGTTGGGCCCCTGAGCAAGGGCCTTAACCCCAACTGCTCCAGGGGCGCCTACAAATGGCTGCCCCTGCGCTCTGACCCTCAGCTTCTCTCCCTCTATGTATGTCTCATGGAGAGCAAGTTGGGGTAGGTGAAAAGACAAATTCCTGATACAAGAAATTGTATATGGCCAATGAAATGATCTTAATAAGGTGGGTTTCTTCACACATGTTTTTCAGTAGACCTAGCTGTGTTTTGTTCAAAATGTGTCTTAAGTTCAGGGAATGACTTTCTGCTTCTTGATTATTGACACAACTTATGTCTTCACAACATCTGATGAACAATGGCTGAAATAGGAAGTGTTCCAGTTCCGTGAAATAATAAGTAAAAAAACAGTTCAGAATGGTTATTCACTCTAGCAGTGAATATGTAAAGGCTTTTGCTCCAGAAAGTTTGAATGGATGTAAAGCAAAACAATGACATCCTGTGGGCACACGGAATCAGAATGACTCATTCAGTCTATACTGAGTGCAGTTTATTCCAAAGAGATTTAACAAGTAACTTACAGAAATAAAGAACAGCTCTGGGATCATCAGTTCTCCAGGGTAAAGTGTGAAGTGACACTGTAAAACCTTTCCTGCAGAAGTGTGCTAGTTAAGCAGAAGAGTATATTTGCAGCCTTGTGGAACTTTTGATTTATTTTACAGTATGACCCGAAAACAGCCCTTGATTGTGAGGGCAGACTGAACAATTTCTTCTTGATGACAGTGATGGAGTCAAAAATTGAGTTTCTTAGCAGCTGCCTGTAAGAATGAAATGTGCGTTTTCTTTTTGTGACTTGTGTTTTTCACTCCTGTGCTTGACCCTCTACTACTGGTAGCGTGTTGGCGCTGCCAGCCCATTTTCTTTATGGCTGTTATGGCTGTTGTCTGTTCTCATTTCAACGACTTTATCCAAGAGCTGCAAACACAAGAGAAATAATGAACATTTCTAGGAAATGAGTTTTCAAAGAGGCAAAAACATAATTAACCTGAGGCCCAAGTCAGCTGCCTGCTGGACGTGTTTCTACCCAGCTGTCAATTTTATTATTTCTTCTGTAGATGGCAACAACACGGCGAGTGCGGAAGAGTCCGTCTTCGATCGCAGCTACGTGAAGAAGAAATTGGAGCACGGGCTGTCTCGTATCTGGCAGGTCTGAGCACGCTCGTGCCATCTGATGGACACAATTCGGGACCGCGGGGGCTTTTGTCAACCGGTTTAAAACTTTTGCTTCTTCAAAGCCAGTGAAACGGCTGTGATAAAAGTATCTGGTGACTAACCCTTCATTTTAACTTTTACAATCCTTCAATAGACAGCCTCTATAAGATCTGGATTTACAACCGGGCACTTGTGAAAATGAAATTGCCGTATGTGACTCAGTGAAAATTACACATCATGGTTGGTACCTATGGTTAGACAAAACATAATATTTGTAATCCAGGTTCCTTTAAATATTTTTTTAAAATCCTAATCTAAACCTAGTTTCCTTGTTTCCTAGTGTTTTTGTTTTCCAGTGCTACAGTATTGAATTCTCTATCTTGTACTGCCTGTTTGACTATAGCTGTGTGTTTACATGTTGGGCTGGGTTTCACCAACATGTTTATTAATGGGGTTTAAACCTTTTTTTCTTAATTTCACAGGATGTCCAGCTGAAAGTCAAAGCTTACTTACTCGGAACAGATATGTCCAACTTCAAGTACGACGACTTCATCCTTGTGCTAGATATTATCAGCAGGTACTGTGTGCTCATTAACACTAATTGCTGCTAGGCTTTATGGAACAAATTGCCTGAAGGTCTTTAGACAGGCATCAGTGAGTTCATTTATTCAAAAACACAAAGGAGTAATAATCAGGACTACATGTCTGTCAATTACCAGGCAATTGAATTTTAACTGTGAGCTGTAGCCCTTTTGCAACTGATTTGTTCGGGTCAGCATTTGAGTTTTGTTTGAGTGTTTTCATGAGGTTTGTTCTAATTAAGGACTCTGAATTAAACTTCTGTTGCGAGCCCTTCTGGGGCACATGTGTTGTGAAATAACTCTATGGGGTTAATTAGACACTTGGAACTGTCCTGAAGTTATTATTGTTTTCCATCAACAGACTGATGCAGGTGGGAGAAGAATTTTGTGGGAGCAAGTCTGAGGTTTTGCAAGAGTCCATTAAAAGGCAAAGTGTGAACTACTTCAAGAATTACCACAGGTGAGGTATCTGGTGCTGTTAGTCTATTGCCATTATATTGAGTTGATTTAACCTTCAGTACAACCAGAGCCAGTAATTGAGCACGTTTTGACCTTGCTGTTTCCTCCATTTGACTTTTGGAATCCAGTCAACTTCTGTTAGGAAACGCAATGTGTTGTTCAATCAGCATGCAGTGACAGTTCCCTGGAGAAGACAAATGAAGTTTATTAGAATGAAAACCTTATCTTGAATTAGTCATTGCGCACACAACATATTAAACATGAGTCATTTCAAATTATTGCTGACATGATTAGCAGTGTGTATGTGTTGCCAGTTTTTTTATTAGTTTTTTTTTGTTTAGAAATAGTACAATGTACACACATTTACTCTCACTTCTCACTGTGAGAGGTGCAGTTTTCACAGCAGGAGCTGCATTATGCAACACAACAACTTCGATGAGTTCTGGAAGTATAGTTTGTAGTCATAACATAGATGTCAGGCTTGAAAGAATAAATGTCTTGGTTCCTCCTATGCTGGAAATAACATTAAATTGAGGAGGGCACAAAACAATGCACTTCTTGAGCAGTGACCCATCATTAAACATTAAAGTTAAACTTGGCAGCTGGTGTTAAAATAGAATGTCAGCTCTGATCCAGGTCTAGATTATTCAGATTATGCCAAATGAAGCACATTTGAAAGTGAAAGAATATTATGGAGAGGAAAGCAGTAGAAATGCAACTAAAGGCCTAATTGGTTAAGGCACGTCTTTTAGAGAGACAGAATGCTTCAATCTGTGCAAGCAGAGCTGTCAGATATGGTGAGCGATTTATGTTTTACACTTTGAGCCATAACAATGGCAAAGAGTTGTTCCCTCTGAATGGGCAGAGGTCACGGAACTGAGAGATTGGTTACTTAATAGGTTTTAAATTTAACTGTGCCAAAGTAAAAAAAAAAAGGTTCCATGTCCAGTTCATTTGAAATCATAGAATAAATTGGTGTGAACTGGAATGGAAGAAGTTTCTACTAGGGCTAGAGTATTTGGTACTGTGTTTTGAAGTGGCTTTTCTGACAGTGCTATGGGTTTTGAGAATAAGAAAATACTGGTTCACTGAAATTTTGAGCCAAAACTGGCAGATTTTTTTTAAGAGAGGGTACTGGGAAGAAGATACCTAAACTACCAGTCCAAAGTCAACAATACATGCAATACTCAGACAGAAAAAAATCACGTTCCTCCATTTCACTGGTATTGATGATTCATCACAGAACAACAGCAGTTGATTCAGTTTTTCATACAGAACTATTACACTGTATTTATGCAGGACTCCTGATGAGATAAGGGGATCTATACTGCATTTGACAAATGCAACAGCATGTATGCATTGAACTGAACAATCTTTTTTAACTCTGTAACCTTTCAAAAATAATGTGTGATATTTGCACAGGTTTTGTTCCTTTTTAAATTCATTTCCAATATGGATTTTTTTAAATAAATGAAAATTCAATACCAGGGTTTAAAAAAAACAGGAAGGGGCATGCATTGAAAATACTGATAATACAGTTTTATTCATATTGTGAAATGCAAATTGAGAAAGAAAACAACTGCAGTAAAAAGACAAATAGCAGGACTTTCTGTATTTTTCTAAAATGCGGTGTTAAAAATGAGGTAGGAAATAGTGGGGAGTAAAGGGATTGTGTTTTTTAGACCATTAACTTTGGAGGAGTTGTTAAGGTATTGGGATCCATTTCTTTTGGCTGTTCAAAAGATGGTTATTTAGACAATGGTTGAGTATTTTCAGATAAATTACATTAGGAATGGTTTTCATTTTAGTAATGGTATCAAAGCTTCGTTAAGGAACGCATTTGTCATTTTTGCTTATACTCTAAAAGCGATGTACTGTAGTTCTTTGGTGAAATTATTCAGGTAGTTGGGGAATAAAACTTGTCATGATTATTGTTCTGAGAAACTCTATTCTATCCTCCTGTTTTCTTTAAGACATTGTTGATTTGATTTGCATCAATTAAGAATATATCTCACCATCTTAAGAATACATTGTGACAAAAAGTGCTTTACTACTTTTTAATAATTTGTGAAATCTGATTTACTTTGGGGGTTCTTGTAAAGTCAAATGAATCTCTGATTGTATGTTTTGCCTACAACATTTCCTTACATTGCACATTGCAAGTGTTGTGTGGAAAAAAATCCTTAAATTTACTTTGTTGTTGTTCAGGCAGCATCTTTGACCAACAGATACTGTTGCTGCCTCACACAAATTAATATTCAAAAACGTTAAGACACCTGTCAACTGCAAATTTCACATCCATTACTTCCACTACGTCTTTAGTTTTCATAGCAGTCTAGGTTGTTTTCCAGAGTGCAGACACAGAGGGTCAGAGTGGTATTTATTGCTGGATGGCCAAATATTCAGACTTGTTTGCCAGCAAATTATTTTCTGTTTTCATTGTCAGCAGTATAAAAAGTTCTCTGCATAAGTCTGTTCATTTTCCATGCATAATTTTCAAATTAGTTTTGAATTTTAAGTTGTGGGGTGATATCCTTAAACCAATTGCCTGTCAGTAACATTAATACTGTAGGCTGTGTAGCCATGCATCTTGCTTCAGCACATTTTGACAAAACAGTATTGCGCCCTGCAGGCTTTTTGTTGAAAATGAGTTAGCAGCTCACTGTTTTTAAGTTGGTGAAACCTCTGAATCCAGCAGATGAAATAAATACACCGAAACATTAAAAAAGCAATATCACATGGGAGAACTCTCAAAAGTGTATGTCATGAGGTCACTAATTGCTTAAAGCCCAGTCAAATGTTGACTCCAGTCTTTAATATTTACTCTTTTCCCTTTAGAACCCGGCTTGAGGAGCTGAGAATGTTTTTGGAAAATGAAGTCTGGGAGGTTTGCCCTGTTAAGTCAAACTTCAACATTATACAGCTTCACGTAAGTAGAAATATGAATCGTATTAATCTGGTGCACCACACGTGTGAGGGAACTATTTGTCTCCTGGGACAAGGAAAACCACCTCACTTACACTCCTTGGCATTTAAACTTGACCGTTATAAACGTGGAATTTACATACAAAAGTTAATCAGTTGGGTCTCTGTGAGCTGGTGTCTTTTTCTGTATCTGCTAATTTGAAGAACCCTTCCCTGGCCTTGTCTTCAAAGAGGGCTGTTTTTTTATTAAAGTGGCAGTGATACACTGAGGTTTCAGGGATGATCAAGAAGAAGGGACTCTCACCTGGAACAAGCTTCAGGCTCCATCTTCTCCAGTGTCCTCTCTCTCTTGTAGTCTGGTCTCATTTTCCCTCTTTCCTTCCTCTTTTCTCGGTCTTGATCTGATCTTATATAGTATATTTCTGGACTGTTAATTGGCACATAATCATTTACCGAGAACTTAATTAACTAAAGTAAAGCAGAAGATTTTTTTGATCTGTGTTTCTTAGACCCAGCACACCTACAGTAAGTAAACATCCCTTGGTTTGAAGCTTCTAGAAGGTGGAAATATAGAACCTATAGTTACAGTAGGTGTTACCCCCTGTGTCTAAATTCTTAGGGACCCCTCCATTGTCACCTATCTCAGCCTGCAACAATATTGAATAAAATAAAACACAAAATTCAGTGGTAGTAAAACAAAAAAAAAGTCTTTGGAGAAGGGGGAATTATTTTAGAAATATTGGGAACGGGGAAGAAAAGCATTTCGCTTTCACACATTTCTCTATTTAATTTTTGTCTAAACGCATGGGGAATTATGTTTTTGGGAGTTTACAAAATCATTTAACATGTCTAGGTGAAAAAACCTTAATGTCATGTATTAGCCTGAAGGACTTCTAGTCTCACTTCTTTTTCTCCAGGATCTTTTTAAAAGACTGTAGGTATTTTGTACCGATACAGTTGTGTTAGAAATTGGATTTTAACTTCACAAACTGTTTTGTTTCACATAGTCAATACAATTTAAAAGGTCTAAGCAGCAGGAAATACTTAAAGGCAAACATTGGATCTTGATTTCCAAAACAAAGCTGTGTATTGTGCAGTGATCATATTTAAACCATTCAGTCATTTGCTTTACGATTAAAAGCACCTCAGCAAGTTTTAATTATGTTTGTTTTAAAAAAAACTCAAACATTTTATTAATGTGCCTCGACACAGTTTAATGTGCACTTAAAATCCAAGTATTTCTCACCAGATATTTATTTCTCTTTTAGTTGTCATTTGTCAGTGAAAAATCCTTAACATCTTACTGTACCTTAGCCAGAATCACTCAATGCAGGTCTTCTTACCACATGGTTTATTTACATACGTTTTATATTTATATGTGTACACAGTTCGTAAAAATCAGAATATTTCGTTTTTTTGCCTATTTATTGAAGGCATAAAAGCCAAATATTGCATCTTGTATTTTTGTGTCAATTTAATGCTTCAGCTGTTTACTCATCAGTCCTGGAATGAAGCAGTCTATTCTGTTGTTTCTACTAGACATAACTCATTATTTTCTTTCCATCATTTGACTTTTTCCATTGGTTTCTTTGGCATTATAAGATCTGGACACGCTTTTGGTCAAATTCAAACAACAGCATTTTAACATCTTTCAAAATATCCAATTTTTTTTTTTTTGCTCCATACACAATTCATAACTATAATATTTGTATCTAATCCATTCTGAAAGGCTAAAGTGGAAAAATGGTGTCAGAATATTTAGTACGCCTGTTATGTTTTTGTTATTACAGTTATAGATTGCCATGGAGGTGAGTCTACAAACACCTGTATTCCAGATGTGATATATGGGTCACAACTCATAATATGATTCATTTTAGAAAAAAAATATTATTGTAAAAGGTAATTCTTCCTTGCTTGCTTGTCTCGCATGTTGCTCTTAGGAATTCAAATTTCTGGGACAGTCGAGATCTCCTTCAGTGTCGCCCAGCAAACAGGCCAGCACTCCCTGTGCCACAGAACTGTCCCTGTTTGAACAGTACCACAATGGGGGAAACCCATTTGAGATGCAGATAGACAACAAAGACGATGAAACTGAAGATGTCCTGGCTTCTAATGGGGTATGGCAAGCTCTACTTGTATATGTTGCTGGCTGGAAAGTGGGCTTTCGTGTTTGTACAGGAAGGCCTTTCAAGTCATGGCAGTGCATCTGCTACATGTGACTGTCTGGAATTATTCATGGAACAAAGCGTGTTATATTTCACTGCACATCATTCATGTGCAGTAAAAGGTTCATCAGCTTTTTATAAGCTTTAGGGAAAATCATGTCTCAGAGTCGATCCACTTTTTCGTATTGAGGAAACAAGGAAGTGTTGAGTGTGTTCTTTATGACACGTTTTCCTTAGTAAAGTAATTGGTTCATTGGTGGGTCAACAGGGACACTACACTGGAAATGCAGAAACACCTCGAGGTTCAATATTACGTTCTACTGTACATTAATACATACCTGCCTGTGAAAGCTTCATTTTCAAAATCTTTTTGCACACATTAGTTTTTAAAAGCTTTGTTACTTATTGAGCAGAAAGTTATTTTTGGTGTTATTCAGCTGGTCAGTAGGTTAAACAAATATCAATTTATTTTTGGTGTTCCCCCAGCACACACCATTAGTCATGCAGTGAATTATTGAGCACATGCAATTGTAAATACAAGATTTAATTAAGTCAGACCCTATGATTTACAGAAGTGAAATTGTTTATTATCACCACAACTATTAGTTTAGTGTCATAACTTTTTTTTTACCAAATGGTTAGCTGGAGTTAATATGCAGATTTTCTTATCCTTGAATTTAACATTAATTGTAGTAATGTAAGTATAGAATAATTAATGATTAATTTTCCCCTAAAAAAATGTTAATAGATTACCATTGCAAAATGGTAGGAGACTATGTATACAGTATATAGAAATATAAACCATGCTAAAAATGACATACACTGCCTGTGTTAAGCTCTGATAATTTTTACATTTATATGATCTAAGAATTCAATTTTTAATTTACATTTGTATTTCAAATTCCTTTTTGGTATACCTGTCAGAGTTTTACTTCTTTCATGTGATGTGTTTATAATAACAACTTAGATTTCACGTAGAATGTTATTTGATTTAGAGCTGGCATTTGCTTGTAACCCAGCCTCATATCTGTAACTAACTTTCTTCTCTACACAAATACTGTTCAATAAGCTGGCATATACTGTTTGAGGGTGAAGCATTTCTCTCAGGGAGCAACGGTCACGCCAGTTTGTTATTCAGCACTTCCTGAATATATGGATCTTTTTCTGAAGTGCAGACTGTTACCCGGTAATGAAAGGGATTGTTTGGATTCATTAAACTTGAAAGAAAGACCATAGCAGGTTACTTGTCCTTTTAAGACAGACGTCAGTAGCAGACCTGAGGCTTATTTTAATGACTGTGTCCCCAGTATGAATCTGATGAACTGGAGAAGGGTGTCTGCCAGGATTACGACAGTGACAGTGATGTGCCTGAAGAGCTCAAGAGGGACTATGTGGATGAGCAGACAGGAGACATTCCTGTGAAAAGGTACAAATAAGTTCACTCTGCTGGGTTTTTTTTTTAGTTTGTGTTCTCTGGGGGATCAAAACGGAAAAAATAAATCTTTCTGTCTTATTTTTTTGACTGTAGCTCTCTGTAGAATCTCCTTCATTAATTTTAGATTAGAAGAACACTCATCCCTAAACACTCACTGGCAGTCAAAATTGTAAGGGCTCTTGGGCATTCTTACTGAAATACAGCTATGGAAGCTGGCGGATGTGTTTCATTTAAACAAAACTTCATTGAACTTTACTCAAATAAATGTAGCCAAGGGCATGTTTTTCTATTATTTTATGTCATACACGAAAATGCCCCTCTTGGTAGACAGTCATAACTGGGCACACACATTTAGCAGTTTTCGCAACATATCTGTTGCTGACCATTCAGTCAAAATTGTCTCTTGGAGCATTTTTGTGCTTATTTACTATCCCCTGTGCAATTTACTATCCCCTGTGCTATCAGGATATTTATGCAGCAATTTATTAAGGTCTTATTAAGGAACGTGAATTTATTCACGTTCAGGGTACTGGAAAGGTCAGAGTGTTAGTTTGAGCACCTTAGCCACTGTGTCACCGTCATGCTGATTCTACAAGATCAAGTTCATAGGAGGGGGAGAAATATAGAAACAACATAGTGTATCTGATTGATCTGTATTAATTTCCTCACATCTTTCTGAAACTTTGAGCTGATCAATAGTAATATTCAGAGTTATTAGTGAGGTGTTCGTTCCGATTTACAAAAGAACGTGCTCTGCATGTCTACTACTATTTATACAAAAGGAAGAAAAAAACACACACATACATTTTAGTTGAGAGGAACAGCCCTTTGTGGTCTTCAAAAAATATATACAATCCAGATGAAATCCACTGAAAAATAATAGTTTAACTTTTTTTGCCTGCAAAAGAAAGAAGAGAAGGGAGGCTTCAAAACTGTTCCTGTGCACAGGGTTTAATTGAAAGAAATAAATGCAGTATCTCAGAAACTTAAGATGGAAGATTTCTCAGGCTTGCAAGTTACCTATTATGGCACTGTTATATACTTCAGTGCAATAGACATCGTGCTGTTGTGTGAAATTAATTTAAAACATTTCCATTGTAAATCCAGAAGGGAGTAACGTTCTGTAACTGTGGGTCTAAATGTCTTTGACCACACTGCTGCATCATTGCTTTATCCAATGACACAAAACACTCTTGCCTTCTCAAGCTTTTGAATTTCTTTTACATCCCTTTTATTTCACAAACTCGATGGCATGAATATCTTTAGGTTTTTTCGTCTAATCATCTTGTAATAGGTTTACAACTGACTGGGTTTTTGTATTTTTGATTCTTTCTATGGGTCATTGTTCTGACTGATGTGTGCTTAAAAATTGAAAAACTTAAGGAAGTGAAAGGCTTGGTAATAATGAAAGAGTTGAATTGAACTTGGCTAATGCTCATGGTTTTTTGCCCTGTGCCTTTGACTGTTAAACCAGCTCATGGATTGTCTGCTAGTGAGGTGTCACTGGCCTTGTCTTTGCCCTACTCTAATTATGTTTCTGCTCTTATAATTAGTATGTCTCGAGATACCCTAAAGAGCAGGAAGAAGTCAGACTACAGCCTTAATAAGGTGAATGTACCCATCTTGACGAACACTACCTTGAATGTAATCAGGCTTGTTGGTGAGTAACAGAGTTCTGAAATTCAAGGAAAAGGTGTCGAAAGTGACTGAGCATCAGACACAAGGTCTTTATCAATCAATTAACAAAATAATTGTTTTTTTTTTTAAATGAGAATTAATTTTCATGATATCCTGCTTTAAATACTTTTGTTCAGGTACAGTAAATGATATAGGTTAAACACAAGTGGGAATGAAATTCCAGGTGTAATTTACATTTTTCCCCTTGATATTGCTTTTGAGTCGAGATTAATTTATGTTTTTGTAAAGACATATTCAAAAAGACACCGGCCTCATCCTAGAGGACTAAAAGTCAGTGGAATAAACCGAATATTTAAAGTGCATCACTTCCGATATTCTGAATTTACAGTTATTGCTTCCTCTTTAATATGTCAGTAAAATTGTACACCAGGGTGTTATTCATTGTCTATTTATGATGCATTCTTTCAAAAGACCGGGTCATTTCCATTTTGAAAAGTTTAATACCTTTTATGTTAATCAATGACATTTTTCACTCTTCTTTTAATGTAGTTCTTTTATATTTGTCACTATTATCTAGGAAGTGATGTAACACTATACGCATGATACAGTGTATTCTGCCAATATGAATTTGGGTCGTAGATGTCAAGCACGCTGCATCTTACAGCCGTTGACAACAGTGTGATGAATGGGACATGCATGCTTTTCAGCATAGTTCTTACCCCGTGATATTTACTTCTTTTATTAAGATTAATAGAATTTATATCAGAATAAATGACATAATTAATATAGGTGGTCATGCATTACCCGTTTCAAATTTGTTTGTGATTCTTCATAGCTTAAAAACTTTTATAAGTATTTTTTCTTTTTCTTTAAGACAAGATCACACCTCTTTGCTTGATGTATAATCTTTTGCATTTCCCAAGTAAAGGGAGATATACTGTATAGTGATTATCTCCATAATACACCCTAGTCTGGCTGGTAGAATTATGCATGTGAACTACAACTACAATGTGTTTAAAATTACACTATATACAGTATCTTGCAATAGTGTAAACTGTGCTCACAGAAACTTCAGTATTTTGGTGCCTTTCTCCTGATGTGTGCTTTTCAAAAACCTTATCACTGATGTGCTTGGAAGGTCTGAATTGTCTGACATTTTCTGAAATGTGTCAAAGTGTCATGACTGCCAGCTTTAAAGCCTCTGAATGTGAAAATGTGACTGAATAATATTGGAAGGGACTGTGTGAAAAGTGTATTTGTCGTGATTTGACTGAATTCAATTGAATTGCAATCTGTTCTCATTTTGATCGTTTTGCACAATACTATGCATGTTCGATAAAGATGGAGATCATTTGGGAAGACCTTTTGTATATTGTTTCAGAAATACTGTACATTCTGCAGTTTCTCCAATTAGAACTAAAGACTAAAATATTAGTCATATTTATTAGCTTTTTATTGGAGATGGTACATAACCCCAAATTAAGCTTGCCAAGATAGTCACTTGACCCAGGGGTTTCAACTAATGTAGACTTTCTCATATCAGTTTGGACAAATCACATACAGTTATGAGAACGAACAGTCTGAAAGAGAGATGTTCCTCTTTTTAAAAATGGTATTAGTGAGTGAATACAGACACGATTTTTGCTTTATTTTTGTTTAAGAGCATGGCGTCTGTAGTGTTAGAAAGACAAAACTGTTTAAAACATATTTGAATGAATTCCTTTAAAATGTTAAATATATCTTTTCCATGTTTGAGGAACTCAGATTCATCCTAGAAGGTGAATTAAGTCTGTGTGGACTGCTGAATTTGTTGATTTGAATGTCTCATTTAGTTTATATAGCATTACCTACAGATCAGGATGCCTGCTAATTGTAATGCCCCTGTCTCTTAGTTACAAAATCAGGTAGTTTCATTTTGCAATTCATTATTTAATTGCATAAAAATAAAGGTTGCATCTTGCACCTGCGGTGCAGTAAATCGTTAGTTTGTGACCAAGATCATAAATTCTAATACTGAAGATCATCGCATCACTTTCAATCACTTCTTATTCAAATCAGGGTCATGGTTAAAAGCATGAGGTGCAAGACGGGATACCCCTGGACAAGATGCTGGTCCATTGCGGAGCGCACACAGACATGCACACACACTCACACCAGGGCCAGTTTTGCAGATGTCAATTAACCTACTAGTATGTGGGAGGAAACTGGAGCACCTGGAGGAAACCCATGCAAACACACGGAGAACATACAGACTCCACACAGAAGCACCTCAGGTCCAGAATTGAACCCAGGGCCTCAAGATACATGATTGCTTTTGAAATATAATGTTGAAATATTATTTCTCAAAACAAAAACAACTTTTTGTTCTGATGCTGCAATGCAAAGGTTTTGTGTTTATCAAGAAATATTTTTACAGTGGACTGTGCCTCAGTAGAAGTTATGTACAGTATATTGGTCACACACAGAGCATTTGAGCTTAGGCACATTGCCAGAAGACATTTGTGCGTGGGAGAATTTTTATAGCACAGACTACAATTTTAGGATTTAATTACAGTGACAACAAGTTGATATGTTGACCAAGTACTGTAGGTAATGATATTTTACATAATATCTTAGAGTTTAGTTGAGGCCCTTAAAAACATAAGAACACTAGACTGTAACGATTGCTAATGAGAGGAGGCCATGTGACTCATCTAGGACATTTAGTTGCTTAGTAGCGTATTGATCTAAGGGTCTCAGGAAATCGATTTAAACGTGGCTAGGCTGTCGGTTTAAGACACCTATTCTATCACCATCTGTGTAAAATTACACTGTAATATATTACACTATTTGTTATATATTTAACCAAATGAATTAGTACGTAGGACTGTTTCAAGCGAAGAGCACAAAAACGTTTTTGTAGTTCCACCAAAGTGTCGGACTGACTGCGTGCACCATATTAAAAGAATGGTGACTATTTGAGTTAAGCGTGCATAAAGAAATTTTTTTCCATACTTTTATAAGGTTAGATTTACATTTTACCCCTCTTTACACAAAATAAACCTAACGCATCTGATTAAATTGCGCTGCAGCTTGCAGACTGGAGCTCAAAAAATCCTTTGATTCAGCAAAGTATAACCTGGATTGATTTCCCAGTCATCAATCTTAATAAGATGTGCAGAAGTTAATTTCATTTTCCACTGCACATCCTGGTTTGTATTACATTCCACTCAATTTGGTTATCCACTACACAATGCATACGCTATAAATATCTTATGATCATTGGTATAAATACTTTTCCTAAGAGTATTTTTAAATATTTCAAAAAGAAACTTTATATATACTTTGCCAGAAAGTAAATTAGCCGCTTAATTCTACCACTATAAGCAAAATTTAAAGTGTTTTAAATGCTTTATGTACTGTATTTAAACAGGTTGAGAGTTTTCAACAGAAATGCATTTTTCTTCATTTTCAGCAAGTATTATTTTCCTTCTTAAGGTTTTCGACTGGTGCATAAAAACCTCTTTAGAAAAAAGAATATTAAATTATTAAGCACACAATGAGTTCTACACCTTTAAAGCATAAAACATAAAGAAACAAATAGATAATATGAAAATAATGAAAAGGTTGGCTAAGTCTCCAGATTCTTTGCTGTGGCAAACCTTAATTAATCTCCAGTCACTTCTTAGATCTCTCTCTGAACTGCACTGTCAGGCAAGGAGCTAACTAGTTAAGGTTAGGGATGCCGCTGTGAGGACATAAGGTGACTTTTCAAGTTACAGACTTTGGCTTATTCAGATGGGAGACAATTTCAATGGGTCAACAATATCCCAGTCAGTCCAAAAACTGGCTTGATTGGAACTTAGAAGGAAAAAAGCCTCAAAACCAGCAAGGGGATGACAACAAATCAACTTATTGATACTGCAGACGTAGTAAAAGGGTTTTTGATCAGACAAGACAGCATTTTGGTTTAAATGCGGAGTTACATCTGAAACAAACCTAACCCAGTGCATCACACAGTCAGCACCATCCCTACTGTCAAGCGTGCTGGTGGCAGCATTATGTTATAGCTCTGCTTCTCATCAGCAGGGACTCGGAGTCTTGTCCAGACTATTGGGAGCATAGATGGAGCAAAATACAGGGATCATTTGGAAAATCCTGCTTTAGACCTTAAACAGGGAAAACTTTTTTCACCTTCCGACATGGCAGGGACCCAAACCGCAGGGTCAAACCTACGCTGAAGTAACTTAAGGATAAGAAAGGGAATGACCTCGAGTCTTAAGAGACTTAGGGATCTAACTGCTTTTTGAAATTGAATGTGCATTTAAAACTGAGAACCAGAGTCACTTTGTCTGCAAAGGGTGGTGGGAGTGTGGAACAAGCTCCTCAGCCATGTTGGCTAGATGGAAGAAATGGTCTCTTGTTTGTAACCTTTCTTATGTTCTAATCCTTTTCAAGAAGTCACTCTTCACAAGGTGATCTCTCTGTTCTTATATTTTACTTCTGCAGGGAAGTACATGCAGATGATGAACATCCTGAAGCCCATAGCCTTTGATGTAATCCACTGCATGTCTCAGTTATTTGACTATTATTTGTATGCAGTCTACACATTTTTTGGCCGTAACGATATGGTAAGTGAAATTCTTCAATCCTTGAGTTTGACAAATACACGATTAGTGTTTTATAATCAAGCTGACATTTTAAATGCTTTTCTAAACTTCATACCACACTGTGGTACAGTACTGTATGTATGTACTGTATAACTGTGTGCATGAATACATAGTTTACTTATATAACTATCTCAAAACCTGCACATTTCAGGCAGAGGCAGCTCTGTGGTTTATGCTGGGTTGTAAGTGGGTTTCGGCAATAGATTGTAGACCCTGCAGTGCAATTAGTTAGTGGGCATGTAATTTTACTGACATGTTTCCAAAATTCCTAAGGGACATAAAGTGCAAAATCACCAAGAAATATTAAAAAAAAACCTTCTCTCTACAAGCAAGTTTATAATAGACCGTAGAGAGCCAGTAATGAACTATGTCAAATTGATTTCAGTGCTAAAGAAACTATAATATAATTGCTTGAAGCTGTGCTCATTATCCCACAGTGGAAGGATCAGTGATGAGACAGCTTTGTTGTGTTTGTCGGTTTGACTGACTTTAGCACTTCAGTAGCTTAACAGGAACTGTCTGAAAAGTATTGGTTAGGCACACTATATTTGAATGTAATCCAATAAAGTTTATAATTTTAATGCTTCGTTTCAAGTGTTTTTTTTTATGTGGGCTTGTATGTGCAAGCCCACATTAGCCTTGAAATTAGCCAGTGAAATTAGCCTTTGTTATACAACTAAATGTGTTAATTTAGGAACACTTTATTTCTTTATAAGTTTAAACCTTAAAGACTTATGCTTCCTTGAAGAATAAGCCCTCAGTTTCCCCTGGAGGAAGAACATCATAAAATTGTGAGGTTATATGAAACTAATTTGCTTAAGAAACTGCTTATAGAAAAATATAGTTTACATTATACTGTATAATGCTATGATAATGTCATTACTTTTATACTGAAGCTACACCAGTGTGTAAGGTATACAAACTGCAGAATGAAGAAGTAACTTTCTGGATATGTTTCAGTAAAGTCTGGACAATGAAATAGATTCCCTGTGTTTACCACTGGGAAAATACTTAACCTAACCCAAGAGACAATTAAGAACAAATTAAGCTTTAGTTGTCATAAGTAATGGATGTTCTTACTTGAAACAGACAAGTCAACAATGCAGTGAATTAGCAGACGTTTTGTTTTTATTGTCCCCAAGATGATCATTTACGTCTACCATACTTAGAGAGATTGATTTTGTTTGCTAAATGTGCATGGCAGATCTTTTCTCCATCTTTTTCAGCTTAGTAAATTTGCAAATAACCTTCAAGGAATTTTTGCAAAGCCTCTCATTTCCTGGCTCATCACTTATTGCCTATATCTAACCAGAATGTGAAAAAGAAGGGTGGGGAGGCTGTGCATGGAGACTGGACTTTTTTGATAAATGTGTATTTGTATAGTCTAGGTATGCAGGGTATTTCTGCTCGCCGTAAAGTGTTTGATTTTTCAGGATACTGATTTTGTAGTCTTTTTTCTCTGTTTCTTTTTCTTGCTCCTTTTTTGTTTTTCTTTTGTGTTTCAAAGCAAATACCTAGTTCGTCTGTGTCTGTTCCTGGCAAGGAGCAGAGCATTGCTAAGCAGGCACCGGTCTGCTGGGTAAGACACTGGGGTTTGCCCTCTTAGTCTTAGCTAGAGGAGGAGTGGTAACTTGTCAGATACTGTTTGCTGTGTATATTCATGCTGAGGTTTCCTTAGCCTAGCGTTCCATCCTTTTATTATCCTTTTATCCTTTTTCTTGCCTGCTTTAGCCCTCCAGTAGTATTTCCAGCTCATTTAGAAGAAGTGAGGTGTGAAACTTATTTCCATTTGTCTATAGAACCAGCTCTTTTTTTCTGTAGGATCCTAGTGATAGGTTTGGAGATGAGTAATATCAAAAGTATCTCTGTGTGTAAAAAAACAGATTTTTTATATTACATTATTTGAAAAAAAAGTGTTTTTCAACCATGAAAATGCTTAATTTTTACTTAACCTCAGTCTAAACTCAGGTTGCGCTTTAACAGTGGTTGCTACTCTATACTCTATTTGTTTTATTGGGATATGTTACATTTATTCTTACAGATATATACACATACTCATAAGAAATGAGTTGGTAAGCAGCCATTGATGTATGTACTGTATAGTTGCCTAAAACTGTTTGATATTTTGCGTACATACAGCACAGTAGTTTTGAAACAATCTTTCAAGTTTACCAAATGTACTATTTCTGAAAAGAATTACAGGGCAGGATTCATCTACAGTACATGTCTGACAATTACTGTTCATAAATTTGGAAAGAGATCCAAACCATACTAAATTTCCCAGTGAAGCTTTATTGTTTTTTATTCTAACAATCATAACTACAGAAAAAAGAAGTGTCATTAGCAATTATAAACGGAATAAAATTTTATTTTTCTGCAGTATGAGTCATCCGGACTTGGTCTGATCAGCAGCAGATTACGGACTACTCTCAACAGAATACAGGAGAGTCTTATTGACTTGGTAAGGACGATTTTTTAATGTCTAGAGAAAGCCTGATAGAATCTCTTAATTTCCCCGCGAATTTCCCAGTGAAATTCGCTGGGAAATGGCTTGAAGCAATGACTTGAACTAGTATTTTGATTTATCAGTCCTTCTGTAGGGTTGTTATTTAACAGTTTGGTATGAGAGATTGGAAATAAAAGGACAGATAGCAGTAGATAGACCCTGATCTTAAATAAACAGTTTGTCAGGCAACCAATTAAAGACCTACAGAATCCAGTGTCACACTCTGCTTTGTTAATGCTTCACTTGACTGGTTTCCTAACACACAGCCCAATCTTTTCTCTGCGATGGGTGTTAAATTTCGGATTGGATTCTGGGCCATCAGCAGTTTCAAACCCTGAAACTGAGTTATGTTAGGCTGTGGAAGAAAATTAATCAATATCTTTGACAAGCTAAGGTTTTTTTTTTTTCATTTCTAGTACACAGACTTTGTATGAGCTAAAGGTTTTCTGTATTGTGTTCTGTGGCTTACTTATATCTCATAACTTCTCCTGTAATGAAAAACATAAAAGTTCTAGCCGATAATCTGTGATTTGTAGCAAGATTGCTTCTTTCTTAGTTTTTCATTCTTGAAAATTATAAGCTTCAGTACACATAATCGAATGAAGCAGTCATTCATGTGTTGCCTTGTCTATTGTATATTGTAATATACTGTACAATATTTGAATATTTCAAAGAAAAAGCTATAAAAAAATTCTAAATGAAGACATACCTTGGAAAAAAGGTTGGTTTAGATTTCATTGTGCTTGGCATTGTACGTACTATATTGCATTGACATAATTATTTTTATCTGTTTGACTTTGGTATATATTTGTGAAAGCTGAAAATAAAATGCATTTTCTGTTTTCTAATAAATTTTTGGGTCAAACTGAAGCCTCCTTGATGGTTCATGTTATTCCCCACCCTGTGCCTGTTGCCTTCTGGGATAGGCTCCTGCTCCCCTATGACCCAAAATGGATGAAGCTGTTAGAAAATGGGTGGATGATATGGTATTTGTATTTTAGGAATTTGACAGGGCTTCCCTATTTGCATAAATCAAATATTGCCATATATTCCTGCACACATCTGCTTAAGTACTCCTATGTATCTCTTGCAGGTAATCCGTCCCTAGATTTAAGTTACTTCTTTCATCCTGGATCTTAGTTTATCCCTCGGATGCCTGACTGTCGTGAGTTCTGGTGACCGTGGGGGACAGTTCTTTGCTTCCTTGTTCTCTGCAACCAGTCTTTACATACTGTTTGGATATGGGGTTAAGATGTTTCCTGGTAATGTGGGAACAAGGTCTTCCTCAGATTTGAATTCTCGGGTCCTATATAGAACATCCATGTGCGCTTGTCTTGCATTTAGTATACAGTTTCCAATACCTGTAAGAGCTATAAACCTCTAAACGGTCGTGCTCTGCTGCCTTGATCCACACTGGGCTATAGAGTGCTTGTGATGGTACCCATGCTACCATTTTCTCTATGAGCTAAATATTCCATTTGGAACAGGTGGCAGGGTGGGCCAGCAGGGCCGCCTCACAGCGCTGGGACCCTGGAGGTCAGTTTTGGACCTGGGCCGCTGTTCGTGTGGAGTGTGTGTGTTCTCCGCCTCCTTCACGTGCGTGGGTTTCTTCCGGCCTCTCCAGTCTCCTCCCGCAGTCCAGCGGCCCCGGTGTGAGCGTACGCGTGTCCGTCTGTCTGTCTGTCTGCCCTGCGAGGCAGAGGCGCCCTGTTCAGCGTGGATGCTGCCCTGTGCCCGCTGCTTTCCGAGACAGGCTCTGGCTCCCTCGCCACCCAATTTGCCTACTTTTGCACTGGTATCTTCGTGTCATGAGCATAATTTCGATATATCTGGCACAATATCTGTTTGTCGATATCCCTGCTGTTCAGATTTGCTTAATTCTTTTTTGTGGGGTGAGGTTACCCTTGTAATAAAGCATGTCCTGTCTTATATTTTTGTTTTGTTCCTTTTTTATTCAGCCTTAATGGAAAGAGGTTAGTAGTAGCACACGGTCAGCTTCTGAGTATTATTTGCTCAAGCTTGATTAATACCTGCTCAAAATGAGTTGATACCGTGTTCCGTTACACTGTTGTCTGATTCGTTCCTTGGGACTGTCTAACATTTTTCGCATCATGCCTGTATTTGATAATATGTTTTTCAGCGTGTGCATTTTCACAGTTCAGTAAGTCTTATAAATGTAGTGTGGGCTAAATCGATAATGATAGATGATGATAATGTAATGAGGTTTTTTTTTTCCTTTGAGGGATTTAAATCCCGACAACAACTCGAAGAAGATATGGGGTAGAATAATTGTTACAGACTGTAATTATTTTATTCCATATGCAAATAATGTCATAGCTGGGGAGGGTTTTGTTTCAGCGCTGAAAGGCCTATGGATTCTTAGCGTGCAGTAATTGAATAGGCTATTTAAGATGAGGAGCTGGACCTGGAGGCCTGTTTTGTCCCGTCCTCTCAATCCTTGTGTGTAGTTCTCACAGTAACCCTGCCTCAGATACAGTACAGCTAGGAGATATGTGGAACCACGCAGCAGCTTGAATTAAACCCTGGGAGTTCTAGGAAGGTACTGACAAAAGAGGAGATGTCAGTTCAATCCCAGGCTGCAGAGATTACAGTGAGTGTGCTGCCCGAGAGTCAGTTCTATATTATGCTACATTTAATTAGGAAACGATAAGAGTTGAAATATAACAGAGAACAGCTGGGTGACTGTAACAGCTTCTCCCTTTGATGCCTTTTATTCATATTCAGAAAGACTTTTGAAAATGAACGTCCTTAATTAACTTTGGATTGGTAGCGCAGCTAAAATGTCTATATTCCATGCAGAACAGGAAAATGTAGCCTATCTAAAATCAGCGTGACAAATGAAAACGGTGCCAGTGCTGTGCCAGGCAAATGAATAATTTTCCTTTGTCACTGTTTTTTGATTATTAATTGAATCCCTGCTCTGTGAATGTCGTTTCTCAGCTTTGTGTACTGTCCTGGCCAAACTGTTGCACCAGGGGGAGGTTTCAATCATAAATGCACATGATAAATGTGGTATTGTGTGGTGACGGATAGAGTAATTTCCTCAGGATCTGTTAAGGCAGTGGAAAGCTCTGGAAAATGGGGAGGTAAGCTAATTTACTGTATATAATATTTAAAGTAGAAAAATCGGTAAAAAAAAAGAGTTTTTTTTTCTCTTTTTAACCATTACTTGCAGTTCAGTGTAACCATCCAGGTTTGCTGGCAGGATATTATTTGAAACTGAAACTCTGCACCCATTTTTATTCTTCTCTTGATTATCATCGTGATTATTACTACAAGAGTCTTTCTAATTACTTCTTTGCTCTCCATGGAATTCTGTCTTGTGTGCTGCAGATCACAAAAAGTGGACAGCCACTACAAAGGCTGAGATGAAAGTGTCTGGCTTTAAGGTGAATTGCTGAACTGTACAGCAAAACACAGAAACACGTGTACTGGCTGGAGAGGATAAGCCTCTGGGGATTCATAGAGCTCCACAGCTCTACTTTGACTTCATACTTATCTGCAAATGATATGATTTTTCAAGGGATTTGACTCGCCTGATATTAAGTTCTTAAAATATTATTGCCTGAAGTGAAAGCACTGTAGATGGCTATTTAGCTTTTCTCCTTTGAATTTAATTAAAAGCAATAAAAAAACCTTTAACTTTACTCGTTCTTTTTATACCGTGAGGCTATTTTTGTAGACTCATAATAAATCATTCATTATTCAGGATACCACATCTTTTCTCTCTGTATATTTTCTCTCGTGAAGACGATGTGATGAAAGGCTTTCTAAATTCTTTTTTCTGAGCCCTTAAATGCCTCTCTAAAATATGCATAAGGTGTGGGATGGAGAGCATCTAGATGGAGCATCTAGATGGAGAGAATCTAATAATTTATTCGTTTATCATGTCTCATGGAGTCCTGTATTTTGTTCAAAATCCAAAAGATGTTTCACAAGGTAAAAGGGTACTTTAGTTACTTTGCAGTAACTCTATTCAACATTACCTTAATGTTTTAGAAGCCAGCAGCAAGCCCATGGTGTAGCTCAGATTACAGGGTTATCTAGTGCCACACACTGGACTAACTTTTCTTAATAACATCCTATAGGAAGAGGCTTAGTCCCACTTGCACAGCACAGTCCGGTTCATATTGTTTGACCAGCCCTGTCTGGTCTATCTGGATCCTGCTCTGCAGAATAAAATCAACCTTATCTGTTGTTTCAATAAGAAGACAAGCATGGGTCAGCAGAACCTAAATACTGCTGTTGTAGCCCCTTTAAAATAGTTATTTTTTAACCAAAAAAATAGAAAAATAGTTTCCATATTGAAGTCACAGATCTTAAAAACATAACTGCAGCTACAAATTATAGAGAGGTAAAAGGGGAAATAGTATCCTAACAATTGTGTGCTGACAGGAATTTATGTAGTAAAACAATTGCAAGATTTATTAGTATATAGTGAGCCTTCCTGCCCAGCCAGTGAGTAATAATTTGAGCTTCATCAAATGCTTGTTCACTGGAGTTCGCAAAGCCATGCAGTTCAACCTGCCAAATATTCTCTTTAGCCCTGCGAGCACTGAGCTCATCACTCTTCTCCTGTGGCTCTACAGTCACACAGCTGGGCTTCTGAAAGCAGAACGATGGCTCACCTTCAGCAATCCGCAGTGCGTCTTCAGATTGTGCACCTTCACACAGTTTTGTATTTCCTAGTGGACAGACAGATATACACTATGGTGTGCAGATTTCTTAGAAATCCTCAAGATTTATTATGGGTTTTGCTTATATAAGAAAAATGCATCACAACAGAAATCAAATATAAATTTTACATGGTCATCTTAGGTTGTGACTGCTCTGCATATAATCATCTTGGAATATGAAATTATATAAGATCACCTTCCCAGATTTAATTGGATGGACGGAAATACTGCTGTACGTATGACGCACACTAAAACACC